GGGGGGGGGGGGGTGCGCATTTTTAAAGTAATTTATACCTGAGATACTTACAGGTCCCTCTTTATAATATCAGTATAATCTGTTTTCGCATATAATATAGAATAACTAAAAATTACTTGAACATTGAAAAGTTTTTTTTTAACTTCTTCGAATGGAGTCCTACATATATTCAGACATTAGGAGTAGGCTCACAAAGTTTGATAACGTGGCCACTGTTGGGCGTTGAAAAATAAGAATTTATATCAAAAAATGTTGTAAAATGCAAAATTCATTGCAAGAAATAAAGATAGTGATAGTAAGTGAAGAAAGCTACATCAAAAATATTATTAAAAAAAAACTAAAATATGAATATTTTTAATTACTTTATCATAAACTTGAACTATTACAATTTTTTTACTTGTCATATTTTTTCTTGAAGGGAAAGAGAAAGAGAGAGAGGGGAAAAAAGAGCAAGAACGAACAGAAAAATAGGTACACATTAAGTGAAAGTGAAATGAACATAATAGAAAGTCATATGACTACTCCCTAGTGGTCTTTATACATATTGCTTGCTCAGTGACCTTTCTTCTTATTTCACAGAAAGGGAGATAGTGATAGGGCATGGACGGTACCATAGGGGCAGTAACATAATATTTCTTCATCTCCATTCTAATCCACGATTTGACGAGATTGTCGATTAATGATTCATCTAAAAACAAAAGTCTAACAAAGCTTTGTTGCCAGAATAATAATATTTCATGCAAAACAGTCTCTGATGTTTATGACATGATTGAAATTCATTCAAAGATTTTTTTTTCTCAAAATTTTCTTCTTTGTTTCCATTTTAAATTTTCGATGAAAGCGTACTTCTTGATTGACGTGTATCTCTCTCTCTCTCTCTCTCTCTCTCTCTCTCTCTCTCTCTCTCTCTCCTTTTTCTCTCTCTCTCTCTCTCTCTCTCTTCCGTTACAGTACATGCAGGCCATCGTCTGGTGTATGCATAAAAGACAGCACTTACAAATGAGTCATAATTATGTAACCAGAAAGAAAAACTGAAAGAAAAACTTTAGAGAACGCTAGAGGAATTTTATAGGGGTGGCCCGAATTATCAAATTATCTTGTGAGAAATCAAGAAGAATAACTTCGTAGTATCATGGTGTATGTATTCATAAGAAAGAGCGCTTGTGAAGATAACCAGCATAAGTAAACATTATTGGGACTACAGCCTGCGTTTGTGAGCGTTTATCGTGGGTGGTTCGTAATGTAGTTCATGGATTGCCCTGCTCTACTTATAATATTGTTCATTAAATCCAATTTTCAGTTTCAGTTTAGTTTCTTTTATTTCACATGAAAAAAACAATACGTTGACAAAACATAGCATATTAACAAATCTGATATTTATGAACATTAAAGACATCTACACAGCATAAGTTTGTATTGCATTTACACTAGATAATTTCGATATTACAAAAATGGAACTTAATCAAAAGCATAGCTTGTAGAGTTTAAGTCCCTCAAAATCATTTTGACATAGTGTCATTAATAATCAGATAGAAGACTTAATTAGATAGAAGTATAACAATTAATTAGGTTGAAGTATAACAATTAAATTACATAGGTATATGATTGAAAGATGACATTATTTCCAAACACCTTTTTTCTTATTATACTTTCGTTTTATTGAAATTAAAAGAGGGGAACCCCCAAAAAATCACATGAAATATTTTGTTGCCTTATTTGAACAAGTGCGTATTATATTATCATATAGTTTTGGAAGATTCCTCATTAGAGTGAATTCATTAGAGAAGTGAAATCGAAATAAAAATTCATAATTTTGCGTGGTCGTGTACTGATCAAAATAATATTTCGCATAATTTTAGATACGTTGCCAAATTTGGTATTTTCGGTAGGTCAATCCTTATTGAGCGCGGTTGTCATCTATCTGCCCGTATACCCGAGAAGTATAGTTCGTGCTGCCACACTGGAAAACTATTGCCTCAATGTGTTTCGATAAAATGAAATATAATCCTTTGTTTTGGTGATGATAGTAAAAATCTAACCAAAAGAGAAGAAGAAAAAAAAACGAGGAAAAATAGGGAAATCTGTCAGATTTAAACCCACAAACTGTAGAGTCTGATTTTAATCATCCTTTTAAGAAGTCGGATGGAAATATAAGATACTCTTATTACAAAACAGATTGTTTCACATCATTGGAAAGAAGACATTTGGGTTATAGTTATTTAATTAATCTTTTTCTTTTCTCGGCACCCATGTGACTCACTTCAAATCTTACTTTTGTTTAGTACTCAATTTTTCTTGATTTTGTCTTTGCGGAATAAATAATAACAATTATAAGCATTCAAAATTATTCCATATGGATGATTATTCTAATATCTTGTTCTTTGGAAACCTGACAGTTAGACAAAAATACTATTACGTTTTCCATGTACATGTATATTGTCTCGGCTTTGTTCCTAACTATGCCTATATCGTTAGAAATTATGAATATCAACTAAGTGGAGCTATATAACCTTGCTCTCAAATCGGGAAAAATGTAAAACCAAGCTCTGATATTTCTGCAGACACTCAAACCTTGGACCACATATATTTATGTCAGTCTGTGTCAAGTGCGTGCGCCTGCGTTATATGCCTCACACGATGCCTTTTTGTTGTTTTTGTTTTTAATGCACGCGCGTCACACTCCGACAAGGTTTTAGTTTGGTGTTTCATTTTCTCCTGTGATATAAGAAGGATTATGGATGAAATCTGGAAAGCTTTTTATTATCCAAAAGAGGCTAGAAAAAATGCAGGATCGGTAAAATGATGAGGCCTTGATGTAGTTGTGTGGTATTTTCTTTCTTGTAGTCCTATTTTGTTAGTGAATGAAAACAGTAAATAAACATGACATTTTAACCTAGTCAAAATGAAGGATATATTTAGTGAAATATAAATATTTCGAAGTTTAATCCTCTTCTCGACAATAACATTTGTTTTTAAAAAAGAAAACATATATTAACAAATCATACTTGCGTCTATACACCTTCGTAAGAAAATAATTTATTCACTAAATGTCATTTCCTTTCACATTTTCGTGACTAAAAACCCACATGTTCTATAATAGATGTTTGTTTGTTTGTTTTTGTGGGAATGGATGATCGAAGTACCAATATTCAAATAAACGTTGTAAAGCAAGTTCTATACTTTCCGCAAACAATGCATGCGGTGACCGTTATAATGTTGAGTATACTTTCAAGGCATGCATGCACAGACTTACTGGTAAAGGGAGCTGCATGGATATCTTGATAGAAAGATTCATATTTTGGATTGGATTTAGATGAAACATTTTTCTGTAGTATTGATTGATCAGCAAATTTATATTTGATAACATTATGCAGATTTACCTAATTGTTACCGTAAAAATGATGTTTTAAGGAGTTTCCAGTGATTTCTTGGTCTCTTTTAAACGCACACCAATGGTTCATATATCTAATTATCTCGTACGTGTTTTAGTACAGGTCTCTACCTCGTCACCTTTTGTTCTAGTTTAATAATCTCGTTTAATACTAAATCGCTCTGACACACTGTATTTATGAGTAGGATAAACCCGATTAAAACTGAACATACAGCTGGTATAAATCTCTGTCCAACGAACAGTAATGCGTTTGTTTGTCTAAAATATATCTGTCTGTTTGTCTGTCTGTTTGCTTAATACTTGTACATTTTTGTAGACATTTATTTCTTTGTATTATTCAAATATGTTTACATGCATATTGCTCAATGATCATGATGATACATTCATATATCTGTTAGAGCATATACTTCATCGCCTTTTGTTCCTTTTTCATAATCTCATTAGCGAAACACAGACATTTTGAGTGGAAGTACCTGACTGCCTGCCTGTTATAACTGAACATACAGCTGGAATAAATCACTGTCCAAACATTGTATCTTTTGTGCTGAAGAGGAGAACGTCAGGTCCCGTTGACCGGTAGTAGTTAGTCCTAATGATTTGGATGACGATGGTGGAGTTGTCGTCGAGTTGTAGTCTTCTTTCCCAAACCCTCTTTATTGCAGTCAGTTTGTCTCAACTTTGAAAATACTTGTAATAATTGTAATGGCTTGTGTTAGTAGATTATTTGATTAATCGTGCTGGTTCCATTTAGTCACCTTTCGTTTTTTGTAACGATTAACTTGTATAAATAAGTTTCTAATAATGTGTATATAGCTGAATATTGTGATGCTCTGTATCTTGGTATTGTTAAACAGAAACAATTCTTGATTCTTTTGATTATTGTGAATGATTTTTAGTCTCTGCGATAAAATAATTTCATAAAAATGTATTTTGTATGTATCATACGAGAACACATCATGCATCAGGCTCACGGCCTTGATTGAAGGTAGCTTGTAGGAGAAAACAAATAAATGAAAATATAAATATTAAATGAAAAAGTTAAAGCAGCATGCAGGCCTCGCAAGTTAATTAATCATAGTTATGATGTATTATCATTGTATTATATAAACTCGAAATTGTATTTAATTGTTAACGTCAATTAAAATGTTTTGTCAAAATAATAATGTTAGAACCGATTAGTGGAGAAAAAGTTAAGAAATTACCTGTTTTTATTCTTTAAAAAGCATGAATAATCATGAAGTTTTAGAAAGATTTGCAATTTTTAAAAGAAGACGGTCTGGATCTATATCTTTTATACTAACCCTAGTCAATTTTACGCACGAACTGCTTAATAGTGTAAATAACTGGTATATCAGGACAACCAATTTAACTCGTCAGGATCTCCGTCTGTCAAAATTACTTGACAGATCTTAACAACCAATGAAAGTAACCGAAAGGCCTGTCACGGGCCGTTGGCTCCCTAAACTCAGCTTTGATTGGTGGGTTGGGCCGACGAAGGGGCACGCGCGCGATTGTGATTGGTAGAGCCGGGAGAGGCATGGTGGTGCAGGACGGGGTGTGTACTCGACGGGGGGAGATGCGGTGATGGCGATACCAGTCACCTACCAACTGATGCGTGCTGGAGCTGGCCCATCCCACCCCTGGACTGGTATCAAGGACTTACCCTGGTTCAAAGGGATAATAACACTTGTTGCTGGAAGAGAAAGGTGGATGCGCAGTATATATAGGATCTAAACATCGCTTGGTGTCCAGTCTAGTCGGTCGTTGCTCGTCCCTCCATCTACTCTTCCTCCTCTTTCAATCAGTGTCATCATCTTGTTTCATCATCAGCATCATCATCATCAGCTTTCAACTCAACCTATATTTCACCTTTGCTATTATGATTGTGTTGAATCATCTTGCCTTAACGCTAATGTGAGTCAGAGTGTGTCACAAGAGACCACCACACAGCAACATCGACCCCGCATCACTTTCCAGACAGGAGGTACCATCATCTTACATTCGATACAATCCTCACCATCACTTGGTTGTTGACTTTTAGCGTCTTATTTATTCCACTTTTCATTCCAATTTCATCTCGAGACTGAAGAGGTAAATCGAAAAAAGATAACCGTCTGAACAAAAATTGGCATTCACCGTCTTCGTCTGTGCCTTGTGGTCGTTTTGAAAATAACTTGCATCATCCTTGATTAAAAGGGATACCACATCCTACCAGTGCCAGTGCATCATCCACGCCGCATCACCATGCCTCGCTCTTTCCTCGTCCGCCGTGTCTCCCGGCCTAACAAGGAGAAAGCCGCCATGTGGGACTGCTTTGCAGCAGAAACAGCCATCCAGAGTAAGTCTTCATTTCATTCACATTTTATCCAAAAATTTCATCACCATAGAAGCAAAAAAGAGAGGGAAAAAAAAAGAACGATTGCTAAATTAATTTTGACAGCGAGTTATGTTTATGATGTTTTGATCCGAACTCGAAAACCATTTCTGCAGCGCTCCGTCTCAAGTTGCCAAGGAAATTCGGATGTAACAAAACTAGTTGTGTGCCTATTCTTGTCACCATAAAAGCATTCCAACGGTTGAGTTTCAAAATATGTTGTCGTAATTATACACAGTGCTAAAACCATGACTTTTAGAAGTATTAAATGTCATCTTATTTTTGCCACAGAACAACAAGTGTACTTTTCTTTGGAACAAATTCTTGTCTTCTATATTTAGCAGAACAAAATCTAAGATTCATGGTAATATTAGCGAAAGTGAGCTCGAAAGTTTCCCTCAATTATCGTCTAAAATGAACAATTTCACCTCCTGGTTCGGATACATTTTCTTAATTCGATACGAAATTTCTTCTCGGTCCATCTATCTTTAAAGTTTAAGGCACGAGCCAAAAATGTTGCTAATTAAGGTTGAAAAACAATTTCTCCATCGGGAAAGGGATCGGCTATAAAGTATAAAAAGCGAGGTCTTCAAGTTCTTTTTATGCGCTCCATTGATTTATAAGTGACGGGGGCAGGGAGGGTTTTAGTTACCCCCAGTTTGTATTTAGCCTAGGTATATCGCTGATGTAAATGAGGTGTTGGCGAAAATGACCCCTTTGGGATGGCCGAGTGATCAAGCGCGTCGCGGTCACTCGCATGGTCACTATCAAATGGTCACTACTCTCCTTTGACGATCGTTGACCAACCAATTTTGTTTGTCTTTTGACATGGCGCGCGACCGAAATTCCCCTTAGAGCGGCAGTTGAAATATATGTGGTTTTTATTACACCTTACACGTGAACTCGTATCAAATACCAATGGAAACGGAATGAAACTCCAAGGAGGATAGAATAATAATGAATTGCTCGCAGGTTTCCTTTTTGTGTTTGGTTAATCAACAACTTGGGAGTCTGATATGCTTTTTTAGGGTGAAACGATTATGCCCCGTTCGACCCATTAAACTGTTATTGCCAGTGGCTTTTACCTGAACCTCATTGTAAAATGAGTTATACTGATTTAAACTCAAGAAACGTAGGATATGCTTTAAACCAAAATGTTAATGCACTTTCTTGTTCTGCACCTTATTCATGTTAATCAGTTTCATCAATGTGATTATGAAAAGATAGAAGAACTTGGGAATTTTGTTTAATAGTGTTCATGGTGTTCTTCGTTATTAACCAATCTAAGTTAAGATTTTATGCTTTAAATATATCAAGCAAAATCATTATTCCATAAGATAGCTCTTTACTTTAAGAACATTAACTTTATTCAATTCGATACCCTAAATCGTCCGCATTTATTTTATTTCAAAAATGATTTCAACAAATCCAACTTGGTATTAGAAATCGATAGTAAATATAATGTGAAAGGAAAACTTCTAGACAAGCTTCTCCTTGTTATTTATTAGTTGATAACCAATACATCTTTCATCATATCACTGTACATCCATCATGTAAAACTGATATTGATATGTTAGGTTCTTGCATACCAATACTCATATCTAAAGAAATGTAATCTCCATTAATATTTGTTGCACTCAGAAGTATTGGGGCGCAGAGTTCGTGTTACCAACCACTTCACAGAGCTCCTCATCAGGGCGACCCCCGGTACGCTACCGCTGGTTTACCCACCAGATAAACAAAAGAAAACTCTCAAACTTTCTCAAACGATTTGCTCTCTCTCTCTTCTCATTTTCTTGCCCATTTGCTCACTGTTTTTGCTTTGCGAGTATACGAAAGCAAATTAACATCTCACGGTTCTAGAAATTCATAGTTAATGGATCTAACGAGCGAATTAAGCATCGTTATATCGTTAGGGTTGTTGTGCAGGCGAGCAAAGTTCTTTCTCCGGGTTTTCGTCCATTTTGTTCCCCGCCAGATCCCACGGGGTTTCTTTACCGTTCTGATTTGGATGAAACCACCTTTGTGCTTCTTTCTCTCGACTCGAGCCTTGTTTCGGACTCGACGGGAGCTTGTCTTTGGTGATACTTTGTTGGCACTAATAGGCAAGTTATTTCGATGATTAACCGGCATTGCACTTTCGTGAATTCCGACAGCTTTGCGTCATTATGTCGAGGTGGTGGTATATAGTTTCAGGTTTACTCCATTGTTTCTGCTCAGAAGGTAAAAACAAAAATATTGATGAGAATCAATTTCAACTTAAATGTATTTATAAATCAAAGGCAACACACATACAAATGACTCGTGTTGTACCGGATTGGAATAAAAGTCGTCTAATCATTAGTTTGAACAAAGAGAACTCAAAGAATTTGAAGAACAAACAAAGACGGAGCTCAGGAAGGAAAATAAGAAAAAACACGAACATTTTAAAGATTCTCTTTAAGATTTTATGATTGTTCATTCTTTCGTTCGTTTAATATGTAAAATATAGTACCTCTGATCCAGTCATACGACTAAAACATGCGACTTGAAGAAATCCCAGGGTTTTGATTGGCCGTCACTTCTCATTAAGTCGCTCGTGAAAAAGTACCCGAAAGCCTCAAGAAATAGGTAACGCTACCTATCCATACTCCTCAGTTTTTCTTCTTTGTGGAGCACGCTATTTGAATATGAAACAGGTGAAATGGAATGTCACAGTTTCAGTCTATTTATTTCTTTCTTCTGCTTTCTTAAGGGATATTACTGAGGCGATTCTTGATTAGAATGCGATGTATTTGTGACCCGAGTTGAGGTCGCGTCCCTCGGGATTCGAAGCTCGAGATGAAAGTCGACTTCAAACTGGACTGAACGCGACAGTTCCCCGCTCGAAGCTAAAGTGCGCTCCTTAAAAAGTCAGAACTTTACATCAAAGGCGAAATAACTGTTACAAAAACGTGCTTTGCGACTGTAAGTCGTGAAAAACTATCCATTTTCTTGTCCTTGATAACTGGAGGTAAGAATTTATGGAATTGGAAACTTTTGTTAATAATACTGGAATGTTGTCTTAGCCATTTACCTCAAATATTAAAATTACATTCCATACTTTGATATCCTATACATTCCATTTACAGCCATCATGTTTTTTGTTGTTAAATGAACCGATTGTTTAAATTGAGTAAAGATAACAACTTAGTAGCAGTAAGTACTATGTGAAGCCCCCCCCCCCCCCCTCCGCCTCCACCACCACCACCACCACCACCACCACCACCACCACCACCACCACCCCTCCACCCCATCATCCTCATAACAGTCATAAGACACCAATGTAGGCATGTGTTAGAAGTTGATAGACTCCCTTTATCAATCAGGTTGTGATTTGATGTAAGTAAGAAAGCATCAAACATCAGTCTATCAGCTTACACATGTAGATTCCTAGAAACGTTAAGCTGAATATTAAACGACAGAATGAAAATGTAATGTATATCACTATGATTTAAATGCAACCGTTACAAGGGCGCATGACGGCACACTTCTCTTCCTCACTCGTTGATCGGTTTTACTTCGTAACGATATTGACCGCGAAATAGATGACATTTGACTCATAGACCTACATCAATCGTAACGGTTAATGAAGCTACACCGCACCATGCAGTAAAAGATTCGATCACACCTAATGTTGAGTAAATTAGATAAAGAAACAACACTCAAAATTCTAACATCAATCAAAACTGTTTCGTTTTGGGTCCTTTGGCTGAATTTGCAATTATCAAAACTAATTTCTATTAATGTTGTTATTGTATATACGCCCAGTATCATGAATACAGGTCGTGGGCTTTAGCACGAAATACAATTTCTTTTCTTGGCGCGCTGTCATTGGTAGAAGTTTGTAATTGTATGCTAATTGTCACGAGAGTGCAACATGGTATCTTTATATTGTTCACCATGTTCTTTTCCAACGTCTCACCTTTCTATTTACATCTTGCTGTACACACTCAGTGATAAATGAGTTCGTTTAAACTATATCTTTACTCTGCTTTGCTTGTGTCTGTTAGTGTTATGAGGGTTCTCTTAAATGGAAGCACATCATTTTGTCTGTCGTATGTTCATGTATATAAGTTCCTTTCATCTCTTTCTCTGCTGTCTTTCATCATTTTGAGATTTTTTTTTCTGTGAAGAAAAAGCCAATAAGCCTATGACGGTGTGTCTTATATTATCATGCCCATACCTTCGGTTGGCGGGAAGGATTTATGTCGACTTTAGATTCGTTTGGAAGTCATTGACTCTAGAATATTTATTGCTTCACCATTGACTGAGACTGCGTCACTTGTGTATATTTCCTTCTCTCTCTGTGTGTCTCTCTGTTTCTCTCTCCCTCCCCTCCCCTTCTACTCTATCTTCTTCTCTCTCTCTCTCTCCATCTCCTATCCTCCCTCTCTCTCACTCTCTCCTCTCCACTGCTCCATCTCTCCTGTGAGCTGAAGCACTGTCACACTGGTGGAGCTTTCTTGGAAGAACTTTTAAAATAGATAGCGGTCAAAGTGATTAAGGGTGCGAAGATGATGCTCACATGCGTCGGCGCAGGCAAAAGGTGGTGGAAGTTTACAACCCAGATAATCAGGATTCGCCTGGGCACTTAGCCAAGTCTTATGATGAGGATGATGATGATGATGATGATGATGTTGATGATGTTGAGTTCATTTGTCAGCATGACGTCGGCATTGCTAATGGCAACCTCATCTTCGGGGACGAGATGGAGATCTAAAAGGACTTCTTAAATCCTCTTTCCATTCTGTCCTTTTCATCTTCCTTTTATTTCAACCTTACTCTTATGATGGTACCCTTACCATTTCTAGTTTCGATCGGGGTTTTCACCACTTTTCTTTCTGAAATGTCACCCATACCCATCTGCATATTAAACCATAATTTATAATGGATGTTTCTTAGTAATCTGGCGTCATCATCTTAAGTGTGGTTTTCTTTCAATA